CCAAAAAAAAAAAAAAAAGAAAATTTATTCGTTTAGCAGGAAATGAGACAGTGGATTACTTACTGTTAATTAGTAAAGACCAATATAGTGGCCATAGTTTATAGAATAAATTTTGAATATTGATATAGTCTTAGATTATAGTAGGGTTAAAATAAATTGACAATTTTCAAACTTATATTATCCTAAATATTTTTCCCTTTGTTTGGGGGAAGGAAGAAGAAAAACATATTTCCCTAGATTCTTCTCTCTCTAAAATACACACATGCACACCCATACTGAAACTTGTTCTTTCTGTAATAGTAATACCCACAAACAAGCCTCCAGAAAGAAAACTCTGGTAGTGTTCTCCAGATTCCATCTTTCACCTGCTGCCCTTTGGGGGAAAATCTCACATCCTTCCTGTTTCTTGAAAACATGAAGGATGCTGATGCTTCCCAAATCTCTCTCAAGCTTCTGTCTGCAGCATCAGTAATGTATATATCTCCACTGCTCATTCCTCAAAAGCAACTTATGTAAAGTGAAATTATATTCTTCCCTCCCTTCTCCCTTGCCCCCTGCCAAACCAAGCAACACACACGCACAGCTAGCTTCTCATTTTCTGCTTGCTATCTTGGTTGCTCACTCCATCCTCTCCACCTTCATTCAAGTTAGAATCTGAGGAATTATTCTTTAATTCCCCTCTCATCAGTCTCCACCCCTAATCCAGGCAATACCAATAATAACGATTTTGCTACTAAATATTTTTCAGACGTTAAGAATAATAGAGAAATATTCTTGTGACAGCCTGACTTCAGTGCACACTGTCTCACACATGCTCTCTCTGTCTCATCAGTCTGCCTGATCTTTCTTCTTCCTAGCTTCCCCAGTTCCATCTTGCACACACCAGCAGAGTCTTTGTCACTCTCGCTTAAAATCTTTTGAAGGCTCCCTGCCACTTACAGGATTAAGTTCATGTCCCCTAATAAGATGCATAAGAGCCTCTGATCTGATGCCTGAGACACCACTCCTGCCTCACAGTTTACACTTCAGCCACACTCAGCCTGTTCTTTTCTGCACATTCCCTCAGTCTTTGGCTCTGTGCTTAGCCGTGTCTGCAGTCTACGCCTATGGCTAACTCCTGTTCATCCTTTAACAGTCAGCGTGTACCTCGCCTTCTCTTTTCCCCAACGCCACTAACCCATTAGGACTCCCTTCTCCCTTCCATAATTACCTTCCCATCCCTCTGTTAGGTTAGAGCACCTAACACTTTGTAATATAAGTATCCATTTATTTCTCTCTCCCCGCAGAGTGCAAGCTCCCTGAGAGCAGGGGCTGTGCCACATTCACTTTATATCTCCAGTTCCTGACACCCAGTAGACACTCAAATATTAAATAAATGTATGCTAAGCTGTGAGAACAACTTAAATTAAAAGAGCATCTAGCTCTGTTCTGTCCAATACAGTAGCCGCTAACCACTGGGACTATTGAAATTTAAATTATATTAAATAAATTTAAAACTCAGTTCAGTCACTGTTCTCAAGTGCTCAGGAGGCACATGTGGCTAGTGGTGTCCATACTGGACCCTCACAGAGAGCTGTGTTGGACAACACTGGTCTACAGATGCAGGGAGCGCTCCTTCCGCTCACACCCACTGACTCATTTTTAACTCCTTTCCTAGTCCTCCTTCACTCACCTCCTGAGGCAAGACCGTGCACCAGGCCATGATGAGATAAATGGGCAGCCTCTACAGTCTTTTTAGTTGTCCTTTTTTTGAAGATATAATGCTAAAGCCCCAAATCCAAATCTTGAGATGATTTTCTAGACACAGTTCTCTTAGTCAGAGGGAGGGCATTTTCATACACCTACCCATCATCAGTTAGAATATGAAGCAAGAAATAGGTGCTGAAAAGAGAAGTGTTAGAGCTAGGGTTCAGCTAACTCTGACCTTTGTCACTGGCCACTGGTTTAAGCCTGGATGAATCGTGGTTTTTTAGTCAGTGGTAGTAGAAATCTCAAGATTCATGGAACAAAGTGAATAAGCATATTTCTCCTTTCCTCTTCAATTTAAAATTGATATTTTTAAGTACTAAGGAAAGATTAGTCAAAGGTACTAAATGTGGGAATGCCTTATGTGCCTTTTTTTTAAACTTCTGAATATAGAATTTTAAAACTTCTGAATGTAATTTTAAAGTTTCTAAATATGTCCAACTTTAACATTTAGAAAACACAGGTAAGCAGAAGCTTTTATTTTTAAATAACTATATTTCAAACTTGGGCTTTTTTAAGAATCGAAGTTTCAGTAGTTTCTATTGATGAAACTCAGCTTTAATTTAATAGTGGTTGATTAGTTGTGTTCGTCCTAAAAAGCTCCCTTAACTTAAATTATCTATCGACTGATTAAAGCCAACTCAGAAGCATGTCTGTAGTAAAGCCTGATAATGAACTAAGGTTTCTACAGACATGAACGAAGCACCTCAAAACCCAAACCAGGTTTCCTTTCAGTGTGAATTAGTGAGGACAGTTGTCCACACAGAACCTACTATAGTTTCTGGCTCTGGCTGTGTGGACAGGGCACAAGAACAGATCCCTCATCTTGTCAGCCATCACCTGTCCTCCATCCTATGAGGGGAGTTGATCCTGGGATCTTCAGGTCTCTTCCAATTCCAAAATTTGGCAGTTCTACCCAAAAGTATGAAAGTGGAAAAGACGTTGAAGAATTCTACCTTTTCTAAATTGTTGAATGGGTATTCCTTTCCCCACCTTAATTAAGTCCTGATGTCAGGGAATTCCTAAACCAGGACTGACTTACCTCTAGTCGTATTTGCTCCTTTATATAAACGGCCACAAATACAAAGACAGATACATCTCATCACATTACACAAACTGTCTTCATTCACATTGTATAGTATGTTTTGTTCCCTGCTTTTTATATATTCTTTAGCTATTTATTCTTTTCACCTACTTTTTTTTTTTCCCAGTGCCACTTCTTTTCTTCCATTTAAATATTTATTGAATGCCTTCAGTAAGTACTAAAGGTGGAGGCAGAAATACGATGGCCTTTGCCCTCCCATTGCTTACAGTCTAAATTGGAAATAAAAAACATATACCTAAGAATCATTACAAGTGTTTAGTGAGTGCACACGCCCTGCCAGGCACTGTTCGAGGCTCTGGAGTGTGTGACAACACCACGGGGGCTGGGAGGCTGGAGAAGCCTCACAGAAAATGTAGGACTTGGGCTGTAATCGGGTGAGTAGAACAGCTGGGCAGAGGGCTTTCCACTTTGTTGTGTGGCCCTTGCCTTGCTGAGTCACAACAGATTTAGGTGTTTCTCCCCTACCAGCCCAGGCTTTCCCTAAGGGCAGAGGTATGGTCTGATTAAAACCTCTCTACTTCACATCAGCTACTATGTCAGCTACACTAACTTGTCTAATGAATTCCTGGCTGAGGTTGCACTGTGAACAAAGGCTAAGTCAAGATTCAGGGCTAGTGTTAGAGGACAGTAGAGACCAAATAAAGAGGAGCCTCAGGAAAGGCTGGTCTTATTCTTTTTCTTCCATCCTTTCTATTTTATCACCTACTTCTCCATTTTTCCTCCTTCTCTCCCATTTGATGAATGACTTCCAAACAGTTTTTAAGCACCAAAACTTTTTCTTCACATCAGACCTACAGAAGTACAGTGTTAGTCAGCTAGAAATGGAGGTGGGAAATAGAGCCTTGTGCACCGCACCCCTCCCCGCATCTTTCAGGGTCTCTCCTAAGGCCTCACGGAGCAGTGTGAAATTTCTTTTCCATTCTAGGAGGAAGTGTTCCCCTAGGAAAAAACAGCACTCGGCTGACATTTAACTTCTCACCAGTGAGTCTGCCTGCCTCTCCTGCTGCTTGCATGGGCCTCTTTGCCCACCCTTTGTACTGAAGCCCTTGAAATGAGGAAGGAGAGACAAGAACCGTCCCTTAGGGAAGAAGCAGTAAAGCTTCCAGCTGTATACTGAGTACTTTATTCATTCCTGATACAGGAAATGCTGTTATGCATGTTTAATTTCTCCTGTTAACTTATTAGTCTCATCCCATCAGAGATTTTTATTTTCTTTTGCATTTTTTTAAGAAATATCTTCCAGGGCTGGCCCGGTGGCGTAGCGGTTAAGTGCACACGCTCCACTTCGGCGGCCCAGGGTTCGCAGGTTCGGATCCCGGGCACAGACCAACACACCACTTGTCAAGCCATGCTGTGGCGGCATCCGATATAAAGTAGAGGAAGATGGGCACGGATGTTAGCCCAGGGCCAATCTTCCTCAGCAAAAAAGGGAGGATTGGCAACAGATGTTAGATCAGGAGTAATCTTCTGGTATGAGAGGTTTGGGCATTCGATGGGAGATATAAAAAAAACTTTCCACTCCAAGCAAGTGGACTGAAGGTATATTTTATTATATAGAGGATAGTAAAGGCGATAGTCTGCAAACAGATCCGAATAGGTCAAATAATAAGAGGGAAAAAACACCAGCTCAACTGGAAAGGGAAAACATCCACATCAGCTGAGATAGCAGCAGAATCGAATAGGTCATATAATAAGAGGGAAAAACATCAGATCGATCGGAAA